AAAAGAAAGAAAGGAGCAACTTTCATTCATTTTAAAGCCTGTCAATACAACTTGTGTCCCACCAAGGCAAATGTAGCCCACAAACCATAAAGTGTGGTCCTTCACCTGAAATCCCCTTGCAACTGCAGTCTCAAGCAGGAAATTGAAAACAGAGCTTCCCTGTGCTCCTTGTACTTTGAAGTGCACAGCTGATGGGCTACAAAGTTGTGTAGCTCTTCTTTAATACTAGGCAGGACTGAGTTCTTATAAGAGGGGAGAAGCCTGACAATTTGATCCAAAGGTTTTTGTCACCTGCCTGTAGAGGGCATGGGGGAAATCACTGATCCCCATGGGTGAAATACACTGTCTTGGCCAAAGAGTATTCTAAATATGGTCATCTTTCTGCATGCAAAAGCCTCAAAAGGCAAAGGATAGGAGGGCTATTACAATTTTATACTTCTTCCCAATCTGTCTGCCTAAAATGACATATCTTTCCCATTTCTACTACTGCCCCACCCCCATGACCCTTCAATAAGCACTCTTCTAATAGGCAAGAAAGATGATCCTTCCAGGGTCCCTCTTTCATTTTTCTTAGGGTTGTTCTATAGTCTTGAGACACTGTCCTTTGCCATTGCTGATTGTCAATAATGTTTCTGCTACCTTTTGACATGAGGGGAAAGGGCAGAAAGGCTAAAACTGAAGGTTGGGAAGAGAAATGCATTTATTTATTTTTTGGAACGGAATAGTCCAGAGAAACGATTTACACAAGATACAGCTTTGGAAAGATTCCATTTCAAACATCGTCGTCAATGGGTTCCCTTGCCTGCCTGATTCCTGAACTGGCAGGAGAGAGGGTAAAGGATGCTATGAATGATAGGACCCATACCTTGATTGTTGGGAATTTTGATTGTGCAGTTCCCAATGAACTAGCTGTTGCTGTGAGAAACAAAAATACTTCAAGTGAAATACTTAATCTCCGTATAACAATGAAGCCTCTTTTGTCATAGGAGAATACTAATTTTTTAAAGAATGTTTCATGGAACCTCCATTCCTTGGTTCTTCCTTGTAGAGTGACAACTGTTTGAAATGGCATCGTTAAAGGACACTTCATAAGCCGGCGAGTTTACATTTTAAAGAATACTCAGTATTATTTCCATGAAGGTGCTCAGTCAAACACCGTCTTAAATATGGTGTTAAAATGTGACATTCTTCATGTGCACATTAGGCTGGATGTTTCACATTTCTGGTACAGCAATTAGTGCTGAAATGGCTATAATTGGGTTCTAAAGTTAACAGCCCATTAAGGTGACTGAAATAAGTTCTCCACTCAGTGTTATTATTCCACTTATTTGGCAGTGGAGTCAATAAGGCACTATACACTGGTTTACATCTTCAAGGTCTTCCTTGCTACCTGAAGGGCTAGGCATTTAATGGGCTTCCTCTGTAAGAGTTCATTTAAGAAACAATCTCCAAGAAGGTCAACTAGAAAACCTTAAATTACAGAAAAGCTCACCGGGCTACGATTTTACCTCAAACGCTCACCGCACTATCTGGAGATAATGACTGGCATAATGTCAATATAAAGAACTAACAATGAAAAGCAGGCCCTACTTTCAAATGCATTTATACACTGGCATGTGAGTTCTTCCAGAAATGTAGGAACTTGTAAGCAGCTCTAAGACCGCTGACTAATTCTTTCACACTCATGTTTCAGTCATAGTTTATCTGCACCATATACTGAAATACTGAGTAACCAGCTCTTTTGTGAAACCTGCTAGAATTTTATAAAATTATTATTATTTATGCAGGTTGCATTGGCAAATTGTGCAGACAACCGAAATGTGGACTGTTGTTCAAAGTTTATAATTCCTAGGGTGAAAGACAGCGCTTCAGCCAAAACCATCTTGCAGACTTTCCAATGCACACTACATGAAGACCTTGAAATTCTGAAGTTCACAGACTAATTTCTGGAACTCCAGTGTACCTGTTTATAAGGGAAATAATTAAGGAAACAAACTTCCTTTGCACTTTGTTCCATGGTTGAGCAGGAAAAAAACTGCTACACTGTATGCTAGAATAATACAGAAGTATACATTATATTTAGGGATTCAACATATCCCAGATTTGTTGTTTTGAGTTGTTATTTACAAACTAGCTAGAAGAATGCTGCTAGAGAATATTGAGGGGTTTTTTAGCTTTAAATCTTTGGATCATAACTTTTCACAAATACATTATAGGCAGCATATGAACTTCATTATCAGATTCTGTTTTGTCCATCCAACATTGCTGCCAATTAAATATATTATCCAAAGACATTTTCTATGATACACGAGGTTCTCCTTTTTTATGTTTCAAAGAACACAATAATATTATAGACTTTGTTATTTCCCACCACCACCCCGACTTAAGGGGGGGGGGAGAGAGAGACATACGTTTTCTGTTTGCACACCATTTGACTCCAAGTCCATGAGGCAAAGCAGATTGGCCACACAAACCTTCTCAAAACCACAGAGCCAAACTGATCTTAGAAAGCTGGTTATCATTGTTCATACAATGACACTTGCAACACAAAGAAGCCAAGCTGCTGCCAAAATTCCACCGGAGTTTACTCTTAAGTAAGCATAGATCATGATCCAAAGAGCTTCTTCAGGTCACACAATGAGCTCGAACTAGCTCAGTGGAATTCTTAACTTGTTTTCCTTTGAACATCCCCTGCCCATGGGGATTTTCTGTTGGAGAAAAACAACTGTAAAGTTTCTTTGGGCTAATGGAATGAGTTTCACTATTCTTTGGATCCTGGCCAATCTTAGCATTGTGCTTAAAATTAAGGCACATTTAACACATTAAATAGAGAGATAAAACTAGTTTTGCACAGCTGCCCAGTTCAGCAAATTATCTAAACAAAGGTTCAGGTGATTAGAAATGAAATGGACTGAGCATCGGAGTCACGTTCTTCCTCTTCCTCCTCCTTCACCCATTAGGAAAATGTGGGTTATTCTAATCAAAATCACTTAAGCCAGGATCAAACCATATCGAAGTTTGTTACTTAGAACACGCTACAGTTCCCCGAGTTAGCATGTGACAAAACATAACGTCTGAAAAGGTCCTAAATATATCTGTTTAACTAGGTTGTGGTGAATCAGAATTGAAGTGTTTGGTCCTCCATTTTGATTTGTTTGCTCAGTTCTGTCCGCTCAGCTCTGACAGCTAAGAACAGACAATGGGAGGCCCACTGGGGCTCAGCTTAATGGGGCAAGTTATAGGATGAACCGACTAGGAGCTACTGCGATTTAATACATTGCCTTTCCTTCTTGAGAATTTTAGTATGTGGGAGGTAAGTGATTCAGCCCAAATGGTGGCATTTAAATGATGTATCTGTCTTCATATCGTGGTCCCAATTTTGTCTATCGATTTCCTTATTATTATTTTTTAAGGAAACCCTATGCAGGTATATGTGTGCGTTTAAATCCATAAATATGGAATAAATATGTTAACCTGCCACTGACCCACTTTGGCAAATTCCATCTACATTACACTTTTCTTTTTGGAATAATAAAAAGGGGACTCTGTTTCTTAAAAAACAGCTACAACATTTAGGGCCAGCTGCTTCCGTTTAAACTGAACTCTTTCAGAACCGACGTAGCATAACTGCAGTGTGATATCATCCCAGTGCCCAGCTGAAATGAAAGGCTGTTATTAAGGTGAAAAATATGCCTGAGTTTCCCTTTATCTGGGCACATAGTGCTCGCCTGACGGAATGGGGATATGCATACATGCATAGAACAAAACTCAGGCACATGTGCAAAGGAACATCCCCCCAAAACTGCTGCTCTGCTACCTGTACACATTTCAACGGGGCCTTGTTCAGGTCTCCAAGGCTGCACTCCATCAATATAATCATGCACGTTGAGCATTAATACTATATCTGATGCTTTCCCATGTGAAATGCTGCACAGTTTCACCAAATGACCACTATCTATTTTAGCATACATTTGATAGGAACTTCCCCACTGCCCGCTGCATATAATTTTCGATAATTCTAAGTAGGAACTTTTCTTTAACTTCACTTCACTTGGAAGCTGAAGAAAGAAGACAATGAATGTAACAGAAGTGGCAGCCTCTGCGGAAAGGTTTTATATCTCCTGCTTTTAAACTTAGACAACACTGTAGGTCGTATGTATAGAAATAACTTATATGGGATACTTAAAATATCAGTTACAGATAGGTAGCCGTGTTGGTCTGCCATAGTCAAAACAAAAAAAATTCCTTCCAGTAGCACCTTAAAGACCAACTAAGTTAGTTCTTGGTATGAGCTTTCGTGTGCATGCATGTATCTGAAGAAGTGTGCATGCACACGAAAGCTCATACCAAGAACTAACTTAGTTGGTCTTTAAGGTGCTACTGGAAGGAATTTTTTTTGTTTTAAAATATCAGGTAATCATTCCTTTGGAGAAGAAGTGGGAGATCTATACGCATAACAGTGTGTATAGATACATAGAGATTTAATGCAAGTCCCACTATCTAGTGTGCAAGCACACCAAAAACATTTGTGTGTACTAATAAAATCTATTTCCAACTGTATCTCCACAGCATTATTATCATTACATAAGTTGATGACATAATATTTGTATTCTTATTCCAGGTAAAAAATGGGAATGAAGATAATGTTGAGGCTCACCCACTCTTTTGTGCTAGACACAGGTCTGGGCTTTCCAGGTGAGTCTGAGCGTTGTTGTTGGGGAAACCTGCATTTTTCTGCTGAATTGGAGAATATGGCAATTGCCATTGGCTCAGATTCAGTGGTAAAATGCAGGGGGGGTTTTTCCTGGGGAAAGTGCTGGGACAAAACCCCCCACCTGGACCTGGAAAGCCCAGACCTTTGTCTAGTATGTGTGGAGCACATAGGTCATTCATATATGTGTACTGTGTGCATATTCTACATAAAATATGTGCTTGGTTTGCTTGTATAATTTAAAACCAAAGTTAAGAAAACCCAGTTAATAAATGAGGTATTTACTGACCTGTCTCTGCTTCGCCTTGAAGGGAAGGCAGCATTGCAACCAGCCACTGTGCAGACATGCATCTCTTTTAGATGCACATTCCTATAGTGGAGCTTCACGCTGTAGGAGCTCTTGAAACTCTTCTTGCACACGTAGCAGATCTTGGGATCTGGGCTTGAGCACAAATCGCCCTCTGGGGAGAACTTCTGGGGACTGTTATAGTTGAAAGTGGAAGTGAAGCTTTCGTGAAGGGCAGCCATACTGGCACTGCCCCCGTTGTAAAGTCCATATTGGCTCATGTAGAACATCTCATAGGTAGGGTCGGTAAATTCTTCCTTCACCTTAACTTCATCTTGGTGGGAAATGCCGTGGTGGTTTTCATCTGGCCTGTCGTGGTTCATCATGGATGTGTGGTTTCTTTCATGCATCATGGGTTCGTCGCCTTCCATGGATTCCTCGCACAGTTTTGGTTCCGATGATTCTGACTCGTTTTCATAGTCTCTCTCGTGCTCTTGATCTTCCGACGTCATGCTATCTGCCCTTCTCAGCTCCGTCCTCGAAATGCACCTGTTCCTCCCGTTTTTTGAGAAGTCTTTCACAGACAACCCAGGGCTCATTTCTTCCTGAGAATGACAGTGATTGTCATGACCACCGTCGTTAGTCACACTCCGGTTATCGTTGACATCCTCATCTTCGTCATCGAACTCGTCGGCGGTGTCAATAACTTCCTTCTCTATTTTTACAGGCATGCTGGACTTTCTTGGCTTCTTCTTCGGGGCAAGGTCAGTATTTGCCTCTTGCGTGGGCATCATCAACGCAGGGGCTGTTGATTCCGAAGGTGGCAGAGGGAGCTGCTCTACAGTGCCAGCTGCTGGCATTAAAGGGCTAGTCGGCAATGAGGTTGGAGGGCTCACCATCTCGCCTGGCGTAAGTAAACTTCTGTAAAAAGGAGGAACAGGCTGCACAGTCTTTAAAGCTGGGAACACAAGTTGGCTAGGCAAAGGGTTTTGTAGCACAGGATCTAGCGGGGGAGTGGTAAAACCCATTGGAGGCCTGCCAGGGCTTGTTAACGTTAAGCTGGACTTTGTACTTGCTATGACAGGGGTAGCGGCGCCTGATGTAGCGCGGATGAGATCCTTGTCTCGATTGTTCCTTAGCATGGGCATATGAAGTCGGGGGTTGGGGTTAGCACTGTGACGGTTGCGACTTCTGAGCGAGCTGAAGACCATGTTGCAGCCTTCAATCGTACACCTGTGCTTGATCTTCAGATGGACAGCGTTGTAGTGGATTTTGAGGGTGCCCTTGTCGTAAAAGGTTTTGCCGCATGCGTTGCAGAAAACTCTCCCTTTCCGCGACGCTGACCCCATCCTCCTCATCCTATGAATTCTGAAAGAGCTTTTCGTATGTTCCGGCTTGGACAAATCGTTGATAGGGGTGGACGTCTGTACGGGGGACACAGAGGCTGGCTCAGATTTGGGCTCTACATTTGTGATGCTGGTCAAGGCGTTCCTGCTGGATGCCTGCTCATTCTTGAAAGGTGCTGGGGAGACTTCGGACTCGCTGCTCTCGTTGTATTCGTTCTGGGTCGATAGGCTTGGCTCGCGCAGTCTCAGGGTGGGCTGTTCCAGCAGGAGGCCGTTCGGTGGCAAACCCAGCAGAGGGGCAGAGACTGGATTTATGTACTGAAATGGAAGCAGGAATGCGAGGCTGTTGGGGATGTTTTCAAAATGATGGATGCTCGAAGGGTTGCTGTTCTCCAGGTGAGCAAGGAGACTCGGGCTCCTGGTTCGATTATTGCTTTCAATAAAAGTCCTTATGTCTGAGTCTGCCTTTGAAGATGGAACAGCCACTGCCTGCCCTTCTTTTTCTTGAATTGCCATCAGCTCCACGATGGATTTGGTTTCCCCGAACCTCAGAAACTGCTGAAGGGTAATAATCTCTTCTTCCCTGGACATGATGGCCCAGCGGTCCAGCACTTTGCCTGCAGCATCCTAGAGGCCATATCAAAGAAACAACAAAGACAAACACAAAAGAAGAAAACCTTATTGATTCTGCATAATTATCGACTTCGATTGAAAGCGCTGCGCTGGCTGCTCATCAAACGCTAAGCTCAGAAAAACTACATGCAAACACTGTGTTCATAGGAGTCGGTCCACAAAGCAAACTTTGCTACCATGCAAATGCGCTAATTAGAGTCATAGTTAAAGAAACAGAGTGGTTTAATAATGTCAAAGCAAACAAAAATGTAGACTACTGGGGCTTTGTGATCTAAAATACCTTCAATAGGGCCTGTTTAGCAGCAAAGATTTTTGTGCTGTGCAACTGTTTAACATTCATTAGAATGGGAGATGAACTCTTGCTGAGAGCTAGACTGCACTTTATTCCTTATTAAATAGTGCCACTATAGGAAATATTTAAGTAAATAAATTTAATAGAATGTGCTTTTTGGAAAATATGCAACTAAATGAAACTGAGAGTGTATTAAAAAAAATGCATTGTTAGGAATTCAAACTGTCTGAGGCAGAAATTTAAAAAGGTAGTACAGTATAAAATATTAAGTTTTATTTTACTTTTTTTCCTAGAGTAATATTTAAAACTGAATTTTACACCAGCTCACATCAAAAGCCTTGGCAAATCCCACTCTTTTGACTCATGGAGCTGGTGTGTTACAGGCCATTGGCTATAATCTGAGTTGGGTTAGAGCTAAAATATGATGGCTTTCTGCCATTTAAAAAATAAAACAAAGGACAGTTGCAAATATTTCTTAAACATTTGATAGTTGCAGCTAACATAAATGTGTAAAAATGTTGTCTCTTAACACAGACTTCCAACAGCAAGAGAAAAGTCCAAGGAGAATACACATCAGTAATCACCAGACTATCTGTTGTTAAATATACATTAAAAAGCATTTCACACTTTCATTTTTGCTAGTAAGTATGAGATTTGCCTCGAGGTAGGACTTAAAAATTCCGCACTGTAATGTCAGGCTCTCCACTGCAGCATCTATGGATTAAAAAGCACTAGAATGTTTAGATAATAAATACATCATTTCACCGGCAACTTTCTTAGTTAGGTTATTGCCAGCTATGTTGCCACCTTCATAATTCACCAGCAAACCTTTTCCTGAGCACCAAGCCAGGAATGTTTTAGTGACTCCTGCTGAGATGCTTCCCTAAGTAGGGCTTAAACACAAACACAGAAAGATCCACAGTATTGCTCTCTAGAAAACATACAAACCAAAGTATCAGTAAAAGCAGAATGATGGCAAAGACTACGTTTCTTCCTGCCCCCAAGTTAAAAAGCACAGCACGCCTTTACAAAGCACATAATTAACTTATGGGACTCGCAAGCTATGGGAACAAGCCACTGTATACCCTCTTGTCTACTTCTAAAGTTTCCAGGGGAATTAGGCTGCCCATGCCATGTGTAGAGAGAGAGATAGTGCCAGACTGTTTTTAATTATTAAATTTGTATCCTGCCCTTTATCTGAAGACCACAGGGTGGTTCACAATAGCATATAAATGAGCTATTTCTTTTTTGTAGCATGTATGAATTGGAAGGGTGGTTAGACACATATGGGCCTAGTTTGCACGACACAGGAAGCCAAATCTTTGCTCAGGGAGAGATTGCACAAGTGTGTAGCTCCTAGAGAGGAAATCGTAGCTGCTGCATTCCTCCCCAGTGCTTCCCGCTGCTAGATGGACTGTTGTTCTGACCCATCAAGGCTCTTCTGCACTAGTTACATTCAGTATAAAAGTAAAACCTTACTCGCTTCATGGCACAAAGGTATTCAAAAACCCTGCCTGGCCATGGCCTGCTTCTGGGTTGCAACACTATGAAGATTCACCGAGATACAAGTCCCGCTGAAATGTGCAACAGCATTCTGATGCAAGGAGCTTGTTTATTTCAGGGTTGATTCTGAACAAATGTCTCCCCAACCTTCCCTGAAGGAATACATGTGAAGAGTATTAGGATGGAATGCAAAATCCATGTTTGCATTCCTAGGTAACCTTTTTCATGTGTACTGCCCCAGAGATATTCCCCAGTGGAGGAGAAACGTTCTGTTGCAATCAGGTGTTCAGGCCAGTATGAAATGCTAGAAAGCCAATTAAGATGGACACTGGCACATTGTGAACATGTGCAAGGGTGTGCATGAGCTGTATGTGCATGGCTGGCTCTGAAGCCTGGCAAGGTGAAGCAGGGGGTGGGATCTTAAAACTGGCAGGTGGCACACAGAAGATGGACGAAGCCTTCAGACAAAGGGATCATATGATCTTAACCTTCCATTTATTGTTAACTAGCACTGGGTATGGTGCTGGAGGAGACTCTTGAGAGTCCCATGGACTGCAAGAAGATCAAACGTATCCATTCTGAAGGAAATCAGCCCTGAGTGCTCACTGGAAGGACAGATCGTGAAGCTGAGGCTCCAAGACTTTGGCCACCTCCTGAGAAGAGAGGACTCCCTGGGAAAGACCCTGATGTTGGGAAAGATGGAGGGCACAAGGAGAAGGGGACAACAGAAGACGAGACAGTGTTCTCAAGGCTACCAGCATGAGTTTGACCAAACTGCGGGAGGCAGTGGAAGACAGGAGGGCCTGGCGTGCTCTGGTCCATGGGGTCACGAAGAGTTGGACACGACTAAACGACTAAACAACTAAACGACAACAGCACTGTGTAACTCAAGGGCAGTACTGGAGTAGAGAACAGGAAAGCTACAGCTGGGTTATTCCACTGAAAGCTGGAAGGTGGTTTTTCCCCAAAATATTCTGGCAGGCTGCTGGACTCCCACAAGTCACCTGGCTGAGAGTTCTTGAGTGTGTTCTGTATTGGTGTGTGCCCTACCCTGTGGTACCTGTTGGTGGTTAAGGAGAGGTCTCTTGTCCAGAAGACAAGGCTTTCCCCCCCTCAGCTGGAACTCACCAGAACTCAGTTCCTGCACATCTCAGGTGGGAGCCATTGTAAGTGAACAAGAGAAGCAACCATGGTGAGTTCTGGCACCTCTTTTTTTCTAGAAAAATAGCACAGCCTTTATGTACCTGCAAATGTCCATTAACATAAACGGCATCTCACTGTCTGGCCACACACACAAACACACACAAACACACAGTGGAACAGGAAGCAGAGTCACGCCTGCTGGCACAACATCACAGAGTATGGCCAAAATCAATCCCGAATCTGTTCTTAGAGAACAACTGCAAATATATCCAATCTAATTTATCAATCCACTCTGGTGTAGCATGGCAAGACAGATACCAAAACTCTCCTTAGCTCATGACTGCAGGCTATTTCCACATAGCCTTGTAAAGGAAGCATTTTTTTCACAAGAGCTTGAAATATTTCATATAGTAGAGCAAACATGTGCTGTGTTATAATAAAAGCTAAATATTTGCAAAACACTAACTTTTTTTAAAAAAATGGTAGCATGTCATAATTCAGAACTGGATAATGGGAAATAGGAATATTTCAAGATTTTAAAAAAAGTTGTAAGAAACAAAAACAAACATCTATTTGGACTGTGCTTCAAATTCCTTGGTGTAATGTAATACCTGGCTTGCTGTTCACATTGCTTCTGGAATGTATCTTGCTTCTCTTATGATCTTCTCTCAATGAAAATGAATTTTAGCAACAGTTCCACTTTTCATTACAAATGTTTCTAATCCAAAATCATTTCCACAAACTCCTTAATGAATCAGACAATTATATTGTGACCATGCAGGCAAATCATGGACTATCAAGGTGGAGACTTTCTATAAGACCACCATGCCATACCCCTGCAGCTTAAGGAGATACTTCTGTTTGTCGAGCCTTCTAAGACTCATTTCTACATACTAGTTGTTCCCTCTTGATTTCAGAAAAAAAAGGGGGGGACATCTCTAAACCATGTAATACGAACCTCCAACAGCATAAGACTTATAACCCTAAATTATTTTCTCCCTCAGCCCAAACAAACATACATTTCTCTCTCTCTTTCTCTAATGGTATGAACAAATATTTCCAGAACCATGTACACATTTATTACCAGGTCAGGGAAACAGTGCCAGAGTTAATCATCTTGCATTCATCTTCTGATTTTTGCCGAGCTGAAGGTTACGATGATACACACCAAGACGTGTTACGATACATCTCTCTCCCACCGTGTGGGTCATCTATGAACGAGTGATGGACGCGGAGTGATTATCTCAGGCAATACAAATTGGGTTGGAAAAGATGACCTCTCACACACCAAGATTCAGTGTAATTTTCAGAAGTTTAATTGGGGGAGGGGGGTGCCCTGTGGACAGGAACGAGAAAGTAGGAGATATGATTTCCTGAGGGCTTCTGCTTCATAAATCATTTTTTTGATACGACACGGAAGCTTTTACACCTTGTTTAAGAGACAAGCAACGTTTTCCAGGCAACATTTTCTATTGCAGTTTGTTCTAAAATGATCTTGGATTTGATCCTCCACCCGATTTAATGCAGATTTGAAAATATTCTCTGATCTACAATATCCTTAGCCAACTGCTAATTGTTATATATCTCTCTAATTTGCTTTTTGGCATAGCTAACTAAAGGCAAATATATGCATACATGCATACATCTCAGGCATTCACTGAAAGGTAATCATACAGGAGATGAAATTAATTTTTTAAAAGGTTAAAATGGAAAAAAGATCCTTTAAAAACTGTAATTCTGGGAAGCACTTAGGGAATACTTTTTGTCACTGTTGTGATAGTTTCTGAGAAGTACTTAAACTTATTTCGTTAGCATTTATTTCATTAACAAAGTGACTACTTGGTACGTGGCATGTAATGATGTGAAGATGCATAACAGACATAAGACATTTCTTTTATAGCACAATCCTATCCTTAGGCAGCAATCCTACCCATGCCTCCCTGGATGTAAATCCTAGTGAACTCAGTAGCACTTACATTTGAGTAGACATTCATAAGATTGAACTTTTTGAAATATGGCAACCCTACTTTACTAAAACTGAGAATCCAACAAAGTT